AGAAAATGCTAACCATTGTTAAAATGGTTAAATACAAATAAGTAAATATTATATTCCCTTATGTTTAATGTATTGTAAAATAAATGAAGAGTCATGAAAGGTGATCCTTTTTCTCAGCTGTTAGATCTCATTTAGCCAGTTTTTTTCTGTATCACATGGAGTAATGTGTTAAAGTCTTGAGCCACCCTTCGATTCTTTAGATTTTTCTAGGAATGGTCCTGGGATTTATTGAAACATGCAAAAATAAATGGAAATACAGTACCTAAGGCAAAAGCAGAGTTTGTAGTTCTAATAGGTTAAAAAAGTCTTAAAGTCAGTTGATATGAGCGCCATCCGACCTCACAAATCACATGATAGGCTAGGTTTCACAATGAGTTCACCCGAAATCTTGGCTGATTGTGACCTACACCCATCCTCACACCTTGGCTTGTGTGGTTAAGTAGAGGATCAATAGGGGGGCCATTGTCCCTCTTGGGGGGACACTCCCACAGAGCTTAAATCTGCGACTCTCCAGTGTAAGGATGGAACTGAGTGAACAAGCCGTTCTCAGAAAACTTGGAGAATTATTCCTTAAGATTAATTTAAAAGTGGTAAGATAGAAAGCTAGGCTCCTTTTATATAAAGATAAAGAAATGAGGGGTCACTCGAGATTTTTACACAGTACTGTCAACAACGCAGCAATACAAACACTGAGGCTGTGAATATCTTCAGCTCTGACAAATCTCTCCAATTTTATTTACATTTTATAAGAGGCAGATCCCCTTTCACTGCTATTCTCCCGATTCACAGCTTCTCACTTTACTGTAAATCTTACTGTCTGTAAATTAAATGAACTCTCCCCACTCTGTCTTGTCAGTGCTCTGAAAGTCATAAAACTCCATCTGCAGAAAAAACAAATTACGACAATATTTATCGCATCATTTCAATGCCTCGACGCTGCTTGGGTTTATAGGCGTGTGCCGTGAAACACACTGGAAGAAACTGATGTAAAGAGACAAAGCAGTAAAAAAATCACAGCACAAACAAAATAAAAAGTTGTCTTTTTCCTCCTATTAGCCCGAGCCTCCGTCAACCAACAAGTGGCAGCTGGACAGCTGGTTGAATAAGGTCCAAGCTCAGACCAAACCCCTGGTTCCCCCACAACAAGAACATCATGGCACAGGTTGGTAGACATGGAAGGTTAAAGCCATTCTGTCCACGAAAAACTGCAGGATGTGCTAAATAGCCTAGATAAACATATCTTGGTTAGGTTACAATTACCTATTCTAGTCAAATGGTCCACTGCTTAGGCTCCATCAACCAGGGTCCAGAGACATTCTCCCCAGGCAATGAGGCACCGGGAGTGGGTACGGCTGCCAAAACCAAGCCCTGTGGATCGAGCAGTACGCCTGTTCCAGCTGCACCTACAGTGGAGCACAAGGACACGAGGGCAGCTTTCTGGTAGGTTTGTTTAGAATATTGCTGAAGTAGCTCTTCAAAATAGCATCTGCTGAATGAAAGACTGAATGAAAGACTAATTGTAGGTTGCAGCTGGCAAAAATGTGTCTTAACCATATATATATGAAAAAAAAGTGTTTTGTTTTCTTCAGCCCGGGCAGAGAGAAGGCAAAGGCCAAGCTGAGCCAGAAGGCCTCGGGGGAGGGCCAGAGGTCTAAGATGAGGCTGTCGCTGGGCCTGTTGTCGGGGCCCGAGGTCACGACCCCAAGGAGGAACACCACAGGGAAGAAACAGCCCAGACGGACAGAGAGGTCAAACAGCGTGGAGGATAATCAGAACCAGACATGGAACAGAGCAAACCAGCACAGGTAAGAAATAAAGGAAATGATGATTGTGTTTGCTTGTGTTTTACTTCTAATATAGTAGAAGCTTTGTTGGAGTAGTAATTGTTTGTTGTTGTTAACAACGTTTTTTCATTGTAGACAC